CCGTCCCGGCTTTGTAGGGATGCGAGGTCAATGGTCTAACGACTACGGCATGCACGACTATGAGTACCCCCCCCCCCCCCCTTCACTCTCACCTGTGCAACAAACGTGGGAGAGCGCTAGCCGTCGCCTTGCGAGCGCTGCTACTTCCACCGGGCCCGCCACCCTTCTTGGCGCCGCGGGAAGCAGGCGCGGCAGCAGCGGTCTTCTTTCCCCTGCTACCAGCACTCGGTACGCTCCCGGCCTTCCAACGACAGCAACAGCAATATAGCGGCACCGGCGGAGGGACACAACGGAGCGCGTGGTGTTTTCGCATGAAGTGGATGGAACTGCAAAAGCACGCGAACATGCTACGTGCTTGTGCCAAAAAGATTCGGCCAACGTCTTAAGGCGCAAATGGGCAGCAGCAAACAAAATACATCATCGAGGGAGTGGAAAGGACCAACACCAGCCGCATCACAGAAGTCTTGACAGAGGACCCCACCCCCCCCTCGGCAGAGCCGCTTGGGTGAAGGCGGTGTCTCACTTGTACAATTATTTTCTCCGGTCGTACGCAGGTTTAGCGTGCATTGCCGCCAGCGGCGGACTGAGCGCGTGTTTCCGACGATTCATCTGACGTGTCTGTCACGACCAGAACCGGTTTACCAAACAATAACAACAACCAACTACAGGAACAAGGAGCACCGTCCGCGGAGGGACATCACCGCGGTCAACACCGACCAGCCTATGCCAACCACACCATCAACACCGTCTAAAACAGCACCAGCCACACACACCTTGTCTCCATTAAGCATCTTCACAATACACCATCTACACAACAATACCATGAGCACCAGCCACACACACCTTGTCTCCATGAAGCATCTTCACTACACACCATCTACACAACAATACCATGAGCACCAGCCACACACACCTTGTCTCCATTAAGCATCTTCACTATACACCATCTACACAACAATACCATGAGCACCAGCCACACACACCTTGTCTACACTAAGCATCTTCACTATACACCATCTACACAACAATATCATGAGCACCAGCCACACACACCTTGTCTACATTAAGCATCTTCACTCTTCACCATCTACACAACAATACCATGAGACAACATCATCAACACCAACACGTACCTCGTTGTCTCCATGAAGGTACTCCTCGAGGGTGACCAGCCCCTCCCTCATCGTGTTCCAGCACGCGCGACCCCGGGGACGGCTGAGCGTCTTGAGAGACGTGAACGCGCCGAACTCCGTCTGCAGCGCGGACACCCTCCGCAGGTCGCTAGCCATCGTCGCGAGGTTGCTGCGTTCAATTGAACGGATAGACAACGGAGTTCGGTGCAAACCGCGTTCGGGCGGGGAGGAAAATGAAAAAGAGGGGTGGGGGGATAGGGGCGGGGGGAACTCATGGCCGTGTGCATGAATTAGTCGTTAGAGCAGGCCCAAATCTGATTGGGCTTGTGATAACACAGAGCAGGAATGCCTTCAAACTTCAGTCAGGTTGCTGGCAACCCGCCGCGCGTAACAGGCAGATGCGAGGGGTTCGACGCAAAAATCGGGGTAGACTTGTGATCGTACACAACAATCGGCTACATTCTGTAAACGTCGGAGTTTTCCCCCAAGAAGAGCTTTCCCCCCCTCCCATTACCTTTTCGGCCTGGGAGCATGGTTTGTTTGATTTAGCTCCGGGGTAGATCGTTTTCGACCAAAAATAAAAGATTCCCCCGCGTATTTCAATTTCCCTGGGGTACCAGTGTTCCCACGAGTTCCCCTCGGGGGGGATTTATTTCCCCCATTTTCTGAGTCGATTTCGTTGCATCGCGGAGCACAAAAAGCATGATATGGGACGGAAAATCCATATGCAGATCTGCGCTTCGAGCGAGATTTAGGTATACCGTTTGTCACTGGAAGGAGGGCCATCTTCTTGGAATCACTCTCGGGACGAGACAAACTTCCCCAACTGCTGTCCTCCTTGCTGTTTTTTTTTTTTCTCTTCGCCATGGTTGCTCTTACGTTCCTCCTCCCTCTGCTTCGTCGAACGCTTGCTCGTTAACCTCATCCATCTCAGTTTCGCCGCTCTCTGCGTGTGTGATGTGTGGACCATCATTATTTTGCACAACTCCTTGGGGGGGGGGGGCTTCCCCCCAAGGTAGAGTTGGAAAAAAAAAAAAACTCCCCCCCGGTCTTTACCATCGGGGTTGAGTTTTCGTTGCGTGGCAAGGGTGTTGTAAAACAAGCCCCCCCATACGCCCCCCCCGATGTTTGCCATCGGGGTTGGGTTTCCGTCGCTTGGCAACGACGTAGTAAAACAAGCCCCCCCCTCGGTGCCCCCCTCGGTGTTTGCCATCGGGGTTGGGTTTTCGTCGCTTAGCAACGACGTTGTAAAACAAGCCGCCCCCCCCGGTGTTGGCCATCGGGATTGGGTTTTCGTCGCTTGGCAACGACGTTGTAAAACAAGCCGCCCCCCCCGGTGTTTGCCATCGGGATTGGGTTTTCGTCGCTTGGCAACGACGTTGTAAAACAAGCCAATTCACTTCGTGAACTCGGCAACCAGGTTACCGTTTTTTTTTTTTTCCTCCGTTTATTTTTTTTGGGCGGTAACCATAATGATGGTTGAGTAGATCATGTTGTGCGGGGTGAACCCTCACTCCGCGCAAGGGGGATGATCGCACCACGTTGTGTTAAAATGGTCAAGCACCCTCGAGGCAGTTACACAGTGATTACAACTGTCTCAGGAAATGAAAGCACCAGAAAGTAAATTAATTCATACGCAGCTGTCATCA